CAAATTTTTTAATAAGGTTTTAATATAATTTAACCAAGTTTTACTTTTACCATTTAGACGTCTGTCTAAACTCTTGAATTTCATTTAGCAACCTTACACATAGCTAAGTAATTTTAAAAAAAACAAGCCTTTCCATTACAAATAATTTCAAAATTTAAAAAAAAAAATAAACTTCATTTACTGTTAAAAAGAAAAATTATCTTTTTACAAGCAAATAATTCTAAATAGATAAAAAATTTTTTTAAAGTAAAAAAATTTTTTATTAAAAACTATAGTATTCTATCCTAACTATAAAGCTAAAAAAAAGGCTTTTATGCTCTATTCTACTGTAAAGGTTGATATTAAATAAAATAAATTAAATGAATCTAAATTGTATATTTATAGATTAAGCTATCTCTGACATGTAGAACCTATTATTTTTAATAATGAAAGTACTTCTGACTTTTGAAATAATATTTTATTTTAAGAAATAATAACTTTATTGGTTTTTAACAATAAATTCTACCTCTGCTTTTTGAAATAAGAATTTATTGTTTTTTTAACAATAAATTCTGCCTTTAACTTTCAGAAATATAAATTTATTATTTTTAACAATAAATGTTGCCTCTGACTTTCAGAATGGATATTTATTATTTTTATAGCAATAAATGTCACTTTTGACTGTTAGAACAGATTTAATTATAAAAAAAAGTAAATTTTATTTTTTTTAATTAGAAAATCTGTCTCAAAAATCAGAAGTAACATTTTTTAATAATAAAATAATAAAAATAATTTTTAATAGAAAATACTGCTTCTGACTGTCTAACAGATTTTATTATTAAATAATAATAATTATTATTTTTTAATAAAAAATCTGTCCTAACAGTCAGATGCGACATTTATTATTTAAAAAAATAGGTTTATAATTTTTTTAATAGAAAATGCTATTTTTAACTTTTAGGACAGATTTTTTTATTTCAAATCTGACAAATTGGATCTGAATTCAAATCCAAATCTATTGGATTGAATAAAACCTGAATTTGAATCTAATCTAGATTTAATAGATCGAATTAAACCCAAATCTAAATCTAAATCTGGTTTAATCTGATCCATTAAATCTGAATCAGATTCATATTGAATCAGATTTTTTGCAAAACACTAATTAAAACTTATAATAAAATTAGTAAATCTTGATAAAATTAAAATTTCAAAATTGATAAAATTAGTTTAAAACAATAAAAATAGTTTTGGCAAATATCAATAAGATATAAAATAATTTTTTTTTTGCTTTTTTGTTTTTTTTTAGTTTAGTTTTTTAAATATTAGGTGAGCAGATATGAATAATATTTTTTATTGCTTATTTACTTTTTATATAAATAAATTTATTATTTTTAAAATATAAAAAAATATAAATTGAATAATCTGTTTATAAATTAAAATATAAAATTTTAACTGAATTTGTCTAAATTATATCTGAATTTAGGTTGATTTTAGATGATTAAATTATGTTATTTTTAGCTAAATTATATTTAAAATATGATTTTATTATAAACTTAATTTTTAGGTAAAATTGTATTTGAATTGTGATTGAATTATTATATTTAAATTTATTCTAATTAATACTGATTTGTATTACTTAAAATTAGATCAAATTTATTACAATTCAGTTATAATTCAGATACAATTCAGCTTAAATTTAAATATCTGATTTTTGGCAAAATTGGACTATTTGATTAGTGTAGTATAAATTGAAATTATCTTTAAATCTGAATAATTAATAATTTTCATAATATTTTTTTTATATAACACTATTTATGAATATTATTTAAAAAATAGTTGTTTTTAATTATATAATAATAATATATTATAAAAATTTAATTAAAAAATTGAAAAATTGATTTGTAAGAATTATCAAATAGGATTTTTGCAATAGAAAGAAGAAACATTGCCAGAAAAATAAAAAATAAATTAATATTAAATTTGAGCCTAAAAATCATATTTGTCATATAAAAGTAAAATTGAATTTTTCTAGTAATTTCTCATTTTCTATTATAAAATTCCTAAATAATTTACCAAAATTTTTAAATCAAATTTATTTAATTTAATTTTTTTATTTTTATTTTATATTTTTTTAATATATATATATTTTTTTTTATATTTTTTTATATCATATATAATTATTATTTTATTATTTTTTTTCTATTTCATATAATTATTTTATTTATTATATTTATTATTTTATATTTTTATTATAAATTTATCTAATTCATAATAATACAAATTTATTATAAATAAGATAAATTATTGATATAAAAAATCATAATTTGCTATTTTAATCCAAAAATTATTACTAATTTTAGTATTAAAAATAAACTAAAATATAATAAACAAATTAATATATATATATTTTTTTATATTTTTATCTAAAATTTAATATAATCCCTTATATATCTTTATATTTTAATTTATCAATCATAATTTTCTTTATTTTATAGAGAAATTATATAAAAATAGAAATATAAATTGTTAATTTAAAAGTTAATCTTTCTGAAATACCTATAAGATATGTAACTTTTATTAATTATTTTATATTACTGATAATATAATCAAAAAAGAAATTGAAATTTAATTTAATTAATAAAATATATATGAAATATTATCATATAAGAGATAGAAAAAAATTTTCTTATTGATTTTTATTTGTTTAATATATGATAATTTATAATTTATAATTAATCATTATTATAGAATGTTATAGATTAAAATATAAAATAAACATTTCATATTTTTCCATTTTTTTTGATCATTTTATTATTATCTAATAATCAACTTTAATAAATTAAGAATCTAGTATAATTATTAACAATAAATTTCATAAAAAACTACCTAAATTTAAAATTATTTTTAGACTTTCTAAACTTATATGCATCACTAATATAAGCAGATGCTGACGGCTTGATTAAATAAATAAATTCAAATCTTAATTTAATATAATTTAAAAATTCAATAAAAAAAATATATATACAGGATTTTTTTAACATATGATTACAATTGAATAACAATGTATATTTCTATAGTTATTAATATAATTTGAATATAATTGATAACGAATAAATGGAATGGCATAGTTTGAATTAATCCTTACAAGTATCTTACTGCATATTATAAGCTTAAAAAAAAACATAAAATCTTAAGCATAATTATTTTTGGGAATTTGTAATATTTTCGCCAAATTCTTAAGCATATATTCAGATAATCAATTTTGCCAATCGAAAAGGAATGTATACTTTTAGTCTTTAAAGATTAACAATTTTAATTGTGTCCTACTTATAGAGTAATAAAAAAATCAAATTTCTTAATAAAATGAAATATCTCGATATGATAAGTAATGAAATCTTACCATTATAGTTTAATAATTCAGGGAAATACAATGGTCTACTTGTATAATATGCATTTGGATGAATTTCTGGATGAACCTTTGAATGAATATGTTTTTTAGGTAATTGAGAAATCCTTTTCCACCTTTTTTCTTCAGCAATAGAACTTTCTTCTGAAATATCTGAGGGATTCGGATCATCGCAAATTAAAGTTATCCATTCTCCTAATTTTTCATTTAAATAAGAAGCGGTTGGACGATTATTTGGATTATTATCACAACATTTACTCATTAATTCCGCATAAAAAATTGGAGTATCATCTGGTATTGCAAGTTTTTTGCCATCACAAATATCTTTTGCTAAACTTAAATCATGTGCTCTATCACACCAAGGTCTTTTTCCAGTCGCTAGAGTATTCATAATAATGCCGAATGAATAAATATCAGAAGCGGTACTATAACTTTCACCGCGTAAAATTTCCGGCGCAATATATGGCAAAACTCCATATATTTGATTAGACATTTCATTTTCATAATAGCAAGGTCCATGAAGTCCTACATCACCAATACGAGCATCTGTAGAAATTTTTTCGTCCTCAATAAGTAGGTTTCCTCCATGAATATTTCCATGAACTTTTCTTTCGACATGAATTCTTTCAAGGCCTCCTGCAATTCCCCATAACATATCGATCATATCCCTCCATGAAAGAAGTCCATTAGAATCAAGGTATTGGTACAGGTTGCCGTTTTCATAATATTTCATGATTATCATAAAATTTGACGTTGGATCCTTTGTTATCCCAAACGTTTCTGCTAATGAAGCGGATTGTATACATTTGTGATACTCTTTAACCTAAAAAAGAAAAAAAGAAAAATTTAATTCAATACCTAGCTGATTAAGAAACAATAAAAGTCCTGTTGATTATACAAAATTTTTTTTTAAAAAAAAAGTAATAGACGAAGAACATTAATGTAATATAAAATTTTTATTACCTTCGCAATATAAGAGCTTGAAATATTTTGCGAGTTGTCAAGCCTTTTTAAGGCAACATTCATTGGACCTGATCGAGACCACTCTTGTGATTCATCGTCCCAAATCCACCGAGGTCCCTCCATCCAAATCGCTGAATAGACACTACCGAAACCACCACTTCCAATATATTTAATCATATCGAATTTTTCGAAAGGGATATACTCCAAATAATCACAAATTGGGGTGGCCTTTAGTTGAGTGAATTTAATCAATTGATCAATTTCTTCATTTTCTGTTGAACAATGAATGAAATTCTCCTTCAATGCATTTGTTTCACACTCAAAGCACCAACCAAAAGAGATTCGAGGCTTATCACATTCTGGACAATTTTTTAATTCGCGCGTTGTAAATTTATTTCCTTGATAAGCGATTGTCTCATCCATACTTTGAAAAGCTTGACAATGTTAGAAATTTATGAATGTATATTTCCAAAAAGATCTAGGACTCGGAAAAATAGCTGCACATTTTTTTTGCTTGTTATATTTCATTTTATTGTAGTACAAAATGTGTGAAAATGATCATTGTAAGATTACGTATTAGTTAGCAACAAAGTGTCAAAGCAAATCGTCAGGGAGTTTAAATGAAATTTTTTGAAAGGGTTGCTTTTAAACTTTTTTTAATATCAAGAAAATAATGATTGTCCAAACATTCCACACCGAAAATGGAAGAAAAAGCAAGTGGCAAGGGTGATAATACAATTTATTTATATCTTTTTGTTTTACTGGAACAGAATGGCAGAATGAATGAATTTACTTTCATTGCTTTTTTGATGACAAAATAATTTCGTTTAAAAATAAAAATACAATATAGAAAGGAAATTGTGCTAAGAATATTCTTTTAAACATAAATTATTTATTACCAAGTCACTGTAAATTTAAAGACGGCTAAAGCCAAAATTTTATTTCAATGTTAAAAAGATATATATGAACATCCACCTATTTAAAACACCTAATCAGCATCAACATTTTTATTTTTTTGAGAATCGCCCATATTTTCTTTAACATGGTCCTTTTCTCTTTCCCCTTCATTCAAAGTGTCGGCCATACCATAAGTGCTAATACCTAATTTACCAGCTTCAGACGTTTTTTCTACATTCGATAATTGACTACTTTTAGTACGAAATTCTTCATCAGAATGAGCCAATTCTGAGTCAACTTTTGTGAAGATTGGTTCTAAACCAGTCTTTTCAAAATAATCAGGTTCATTTGCTTCACTTTGACGATCTTTTCTTTAATGGAAGGATCCAAACGTTGACGTTGATTAGCCGTTGATGGGGGATTGTGTGAAGTGTCGACAACTTTTTCATAAACTGAACCCATTTTTTCAAAAAAAATAGAGAAATAAAATTGTGGAAAAAAAAAGGATTTGTTCGCTTTTTATATTCATCTCATTACATATTATTTCATCATAATGATACTATAATTAAGATCGTCTAAGAATTTAACGTAGCACAACGATACAACGATTAATAAATACCCGAAAACAAACATTATTTTCTGATTTGTTTTTTTTTTTTTATTTACATATCATTTAGTTAATAATGACATTACTGACATTTTTTGGTTGTGCTTTAACGGGTAAAGTATAATTACATATTATTTTTTTTAAAAAAAAAAAAAAAAAATATTCCATATTCAAAGATTTTATCATGTAGCATACGGACCTCCACTTGCCATTTTTTTTTTAACAATTGCTAAAGATGCACAGCTTGTTATTTTAATGGTTTCAAGGTAATTAAACTTGAAAAGATATTCATCTTTACGAATTATTTTGTCAAAAATTAATTCTTTCTTCTAATTTCTAAAGTGCATTCTTTTGGTTAATATCAATATTAGCCGCTTCTTCAATTTGGTTTATTGCCAAACCTGCTAGAACTGAAAATGCAATTACGATATTATATAGTGTTTTATTACAAGAATTATTTCGCTGGCTTTTCTATAAATTAATCAGGTAAGGGTTTTTTTTCCCAAAAAATTTGTATTTAATGGTTTTGGTTAATGATTAATTACAAATTATCATACTTTATAGTCGAGCTGAAAGTGGACTTATTCTCGCATCTTCTAATCCGACTTCACCGTATAATCGATCTTCTTTTGCTTTTGGTAAACTAAAAAAACGATTTATGATTTATGAATGAATGATAATTAATTAATAAATAAATATATGTATATATTTTTAGTTAGTGGATTGGGATTTGGATTTATGAGTGGTTTGGTGACATATATAACTCTTTTGGTTAGTTCAATTGGACCGGGAGTAATAACATGTATTTCGTGTCCTTCTAAAACAATATTTTTTGTTGGAGGTAAGTAATGAATTAATTTAATAATTTTTACTTAACATTAAATGTTAAAAATATTTACCTTTTTTTTTACATTAGCTATTACAACATGTATATTCATATTACTACATATAACATGGATGATGCTTGCTTTTGAAGGATTTAGTTGTCCAAAAAGAAAATTTTATTATATTATTTGGGTAGTCCTTAGTCATTTAGGAGCTTCTTATGTCGTGAGTAAATTTGAATACCTTATTGACTTTTTTAAATAAATTTATTTAAACTTATTTGTTTCCTTTTTATCCTAGACATTACTAAATGAATCAAAGATCGGTTTTGGTTGTATAATTGGAATTTTAATTAATATGGTTATATTGATTGTTTCTGCGGTGGCTTCTTTGATGACATTGAAAAAAGTGCACAAATAATTTTATATTGTGAAATGAAAAGTGAAATAATTTATTAGTCATTTTAATTAATAATTTTTTTTTAAAAAAAATACATTATCAAAATTATAATTTAATTTAATAGAAGAAATTATTCCCAAATTCCCACCCCGTTCCAATTTAGACTTTCATTCATCCCTCTATTAATTACATTCTCTACAATTTTAATGCCTTCATTATCTAATTTTTGTAAAATAGGATTATAGATATGTGATAAGGTTGGCGCCAAAACGCCAGTATCATTTATTTCTCCTCTTGCAATCATTTCAGTTGCGATCGCTGCGGGTAATCCGACAGTTTTTGCCATTGCCGTATATGTTTCAAAGGATCCGTAACATATTAATGTAGATATTTTAGTTTGCTGAATAAAATACAAGTTCAATAATAATTAGTAAGACATTTTCTTTTTAATTATAATAATAATAACAATAAAATACCTTATTCCCAGTTTTTAATTTAATTCCGAATTCATGATGCAATACTACCAAATCTCTCTCTCCAGGATTATATTTTAAATTTTGTTGAAGTAATGAACAGAACATATCAAATGATGTCGAATTCTGTGGTATAAATGAGTGCTTTAATGGTGTACTTGAATCAGGCATCAAAGAAAACCTACAAGAAAAAAAATTTTTTTTTAAAATGAGTGGAAAAAAATCATCTCAAATAAATAAAGAATATTTTTATATACCATTTTAATGCATCGACGACATTTTCAACCATTTTATGATTTTTTGGTATATTCAATTTATCAGCAATTGCTGATATTCTTGAAGCTTCCGTAGGTTGGTGGTTATCACAAAATCCAAAAAGGTTATGATCGAGGAAGTCCGACTTCATTTTTAAAATTTTTTTTTTTAAAAGAGGAACGTTAATAAAATAATAGATGATAATTTTAATGAATTATATATATACCCATGTGTTATATTTAATACTTTTAGTATTTTCAGTATCTAAAAATCCAAGTTTATAAAACGAGTACATAAGATCGGAAAATCCCTATAAAAAAAATTTTAATCCCTTGACGCGTGTTAAAAAGGAAACCTCAAAAAAAAATTTTTTTTCTTATACTTTATATCTCAATGTTCCTCTAAACATTGCACTTTTGGTACTTAAAGGAGCTAATCCATATGTATTAATATATGATAAAGAATCTCTATTCGCAAGTCCTTCAAAAGCAAATCCAGGGTAGATAGGCACTGTTGGAAAATGATATTTTAATAATTGCTTTCCTGAAATTTCGTGATGCTATAAAATCATTAAAAAAATTTATTCGAATTAATTCTGTTAGAATGTAAATTAAATTTAACAAATTTATTCATTCATACTTTTCCATTCATCCAAAATTTTGCATCATTTAATGCTGCTGTAAGAACGCCTCTCGGTGACCAACTAAATTTATAACCGAATGGAACGTTTGAAGCTTCTGGAGCTGGTAATCCTCCGCACCATGAAATAAACGATGTTATCTATAATAATAATTATTATTTTTTTTATTTTTAAAAAAATAAAAAAGCAAACGATATTATTTTATGCTCACTTTTTTTTTTTTTTAAAAAAAAAAAAAGCTAATTCCTTACCTCACCACCTTCAGCTTTAACTTCGTCGATAATCTTCATGGCAGATAAATGATCGATCCCCGGATCTAGTCCAATCTCGTTGAGAATAGTTATTCCAGCTTGTTTCGCTCTATCAATAACAAAAAGGTTGTTATAAAAAATATAATATATAATATATAAAATATAATTTTTTTTTACCTTTCATCAAGTGACTTCATTGCGGGCGATATGTAACTAGCTGTAACCATATGTTTCTTATGAGCAATACACGTCTCTGCAACGATTGGATGTAAAGGTGCTGGTATAAAACTAAACAAAAAGGTCACGTCATAAATTAAATGATTTTATTAATTAAGAAGGACTCACTACAAATTATTTAAAAAATAAGGTTACCTTACGACAATATCGGCAGATTGAATTAATCTTGATAAGTCCTCACTTTTATTTACGTCTAAATTGACAACTTGAATATCTTGATTTCCGCGTGTTAAAGCAATGGCTTCAGCTTTGATATCACTAGCTAATTAAAGAAATGCAGAGTAAATTAAAATAGAACTAAAAACAAAAAATTTTATTTGATAAAATCAAGTACAAGATTATAAAAATAAATATTATTATTAAATCGATTTATTAATGAAACTATTTGGAAGCATGCTAATACTACTAATATTTATGTTGACGTTTCTTCTTCTCTGTATGTAATAAAGTACATTAAAACAATTAAAAAAAAAAATCTCTAAAATTTAATCACTTCTCATTACATGACTTACCGATTGTTAATGATAAATTCTTATTCTTTCCCAAATAATCTACAAAAGGTTTAGATACAAATCCACTTCCCAACAATAAAATCTTTTTCCTTCTAGCTTTACGAGAATCTGAAGTTTGAGACGAATTTGTATAATTATTTTTCGGTAACAAATCATATAACTTTTGGTGCGATTCCGTTAATTCTCCATCTTTAGCGATAGTGGCTCCTGCAAGTACGGGATTTTGATCAAGTTTTCCATTGATCTACATACAGTACATCGTAAATGTAAAAACGGTCAAATAACACGATAATAATAGCAAAATTTTTACGGAATTATCATCATTTACCAAATCGTTCATAAGTGGATAAAGAGATTTACTGAAATGTTTGCTGCTTTCAAATGGAATTTCTGTAGGGAGAATATCAACTGCCATGATTTGCGTTCCTTTTCCTTCGTCACTAACAGAAGGGAGGAAAAGAAATAAATCAGACTTGATTGGCGCAGCATTCCATTGAATAAAATTCAAAATACGATCTCAACTTTTTATGTTCCTTGTTATTAACCAAATCCACATAATAGAAAGGATCATCAATCGTGGTTGAATGGGAAAGAAATTCCAATGCTCCCTAAAAACAAAACAACTTTAGTTATATTACAAAGAGATCATCCTTATTATGTGTCACCTTACTTTTATATCACAGCTTATATCGGCAACAGCCAATAATCTATATTTATTATTAGGGTCCATCTGAATCGCTTTTAACTGTTCGTTAGTTAATAATCTCGGATATCGTGGATCCCAATAAGATCCATGAATAAGCATAGTAGTATATGGGGCAATCTATTAAATTCGAATGAAAAAAAAAATTGTATTTTTTTTTGCTTATAAAGAAATGAAAAGAAACTTTTTTAATGAATGAATACCTTCGTGTGAAATTCAGATACGTATTGATTGGGGTTGTCATAATAATCACTTTTTGATACAAAACTTCCTATACTTTTATGAACTAGATAGTCATGTAATTCAACCTGACAACCATAAACTTTCTTGTTACTATAATTATCTATTAAAAAAAAACAACGACATTGTAAATAATTTAACATCAACAAAAAAGTTTCGCAAAAAGAATAACACGAATCGTTACTAACGCGACGCCAAGGTGCATTCTTTTAAATCTTTAACTTTGACGTACTCATGAGGCAAATTTTTGAATATTACTTGTGCCCCCTTTAAAAATTAAAAACACGACTGTCAGCTTTACGAATTTTGATTTAATAATGATATAATAATAATTCATTCTTTACGTTGGAAACATTTCCGGTCCCTGTAAATACGAACGTCATCGGACCAAAACCTTTGGGCAATCCTTCATCAACAATTGATTCGCTTATATTTTTAATCGATAATTTTGCATCATCGAGAGATTTGTACGAATGAGACATAGAGACATGCTATCAAATGATAAATACAGTTAATCAACAATAAAATGACAATTTTTAATCCTTTTTTAAATACCATGAAAGGAGTATTGTAACCCAATCCCAGAAGTCGTAATCCCAGTCCGTGAAGTCCGTCGATCATCCCTATGAAAAAGCCATTTGAGAAAATTGCCGTATCTTTTAAATGTATTCGGGTTGATCTATACCTGCGTAACCAGCATGAGTTCCAAATAACACCAGTCGCTTTTTATTTTCGTTTGTCATTAATTCATAATCGATTAATCGTATTTTCTAAACATGAGAATTTATCACGTGATGTGATACAGGTTAGTCATATGATTTTAGATTACTAATAATGGAAATGGATAGAGTATTTAACCTTATCGAGAATTTCTTGTAACATTGGCATATTATACTTTTGTCCTTTGTGTGTGTGAGAAAAGAAAACATGGATTTTATTTGAAATTAAATTTTTGATCGGAATTTCTTTGATTCCCATGATAATATCAGCATCTGAAATATCTTCTTGAACCATTGCACCAGCCTAACCATAGAACCAAATACCCACTTAATATATATATGTATGTATATTTTTAAAAAAAAAGAAATCATATAAAAAATTAAATGTTTACTTTCTCATATTTCTCATCATTGTAAATACGTTTATTACACGGTTGCACATATACTTTCACACCAGTTTCTTTGATTAATTTCGAAACATCATCAGGTATTAAAGCAACTCTACGCTCCCATCGGCTCTTATCTTCTCTGCGAAGTGCAATTGCATTTAATCCTCGAACATCAGCTCTATTTAAAAAGCTACCGTATCGAGTACGGAAAATACGGCAAGATTTAATAAGATAGGAATTAATCATAATTATTTGTTTTATAATATAACAACAAACAGGGTTTTATTTATATTCTATTACCGTGGGAAAGTTAATTCATGTGATTTCCATTTCAGGGATTATTGACACGTCACGTTCGATTTCCCCTCATTTTTTGATTGTTTTAAATCTGGTTTCAATGGTTAAAGTTTTAGTATTGTGATAAAAATGGTTGGGTCAATATAAGGCAAGGCCGGACAAGTTACCTGATACAATTGATAGTGACTGCCGATCAATTTTTAAAGTTAAAAATTCAGGGTCATGTATAAAAGAATGTTGGCAGTCATGCATGGTGTATTACGATGCTTTTAGATAGGACATACTTATTGGATTTACCGATGCTGCATGTTATAGGTCTTTATGATTTTTTTTATTACATTATATACAATGGTCTTATTAGGTAAAGATATTGACTCTGATATTGGCAAATTTGTCATTTAAAGACAAAGGCTGCAATGATATGGAAGACGATATGGAACACGATAAGGATGATGATTTTGATGATGGCTTTGATACTGATTACGCCCCCCATAAAGATAAAGACCTGATAAGAAGGTGAAGGACATAAATTTTATAAACGAGTATCTTTAAAATGACTTAACCTTTGACGCGTCATACTGCTTGTGTTAATTTTTTTTACTTCAAGTAGATTCTTATTTCAAAAGATAACAAATTGTTATAATGATAACTTTACAATTCATTTTTGGGATAACATTTGGGTTTACTTCGTGATGGCTTCTATTTTTCTTGACATGAAAGAAAAAGTTTTGGAGTTGTAGAGGAAGATTAACAACATGAATCAAAATGAGGCAAAGTCCCTAAAAGATCTAACAAAGCATTCGATCTCAACATTTGGTAGGTGATATATAATTTATGTGTAAAGTTCTCTTTCTTGCAAACTCGTATACATCAAAATTATTTCAGGGAAAGACATCTCATTATCTCTTTAACAATGATTTATATATTTATATCTCCTTTTTAATAAAGTTAATTTCAAATGAATTTAAAATACATTTTGTCAAACTTTTTTTTCAGTTAAAGTAAAGCTATTAGTTACTGTGTAATAATATTATTTATTGTAATTTCTTTAATAATGCTAGATTAAAATTAATTCTAATTCAACTTTAAAACTTACCAGGATTTCAAAAAACTCGTTGTATTAATAAATAAAATATTAGATAAATGTATATCACGAAGCCAAGTTTTATTAAATATAGTTTTTACACGAGGAAAAAAAAAATCTCTTAGATTGTAAAGGTAATTATTTCAGACAGTTTTCGTGTAAATTGCAAAAAATTTGATTTTTCAATAAAAAAAAATATATCAAGGCGAAAAAAAGTAATTATTCTAGTAGATTTAGGTTATTCTTGAATTATGTTAAAATTTAAATCAAACAATATTACTAATTTCGTTACACATTTTAACTCTTAACATGTTAATATAATTTGTTGAAAGGTTACATTACATAATCAAATTTTAGAATTGGTTTGACGTAAAGAATGTTTTTTCAATGTTTGTCGTTTAGTTTGACTTCCAATTTTCGATTTCTTTTTTTTTAAAAAAATAAAAAAAGAGAGCTCAAGGCAAAAAATTCACTATGGAAACTTTGTAATTGATGCTTGAAGATCCTTGCAATGGAAAGAGAATAATCACACTCGGAGAATATAATTCATCGTGACCTGATAAATAAATAATAAAATTTTAATATTCGATTAAATTGATAACAGATTAATGATTACAGATTTAAGAATCAAATTCTTCAATTGTTTTTGGAATGTTGAACCTTAAGAGTTATAAAACGAGATTTTATAAACGGGACAAAAAATCAGGTATTTAAAGCTTAGGCATACAGTATTATTAAGGTCAATGGCGATTATTGAAATCGTAAAGAAAATAAACGTTCAAAGTCAAGAATTACAAATTGATTTTAACAACACTTTTAAGTCAATTACAGTACGTTGACCAACTTAAGTATAGATTTAGTTGAAAAGATGCCTTAAATAATTTTTGATCAGAATAAAGCTATGAAATCAAAAAAAAAAAAAAAAAAGTGTCGTGAAATGTATATTAATTATATTAAATTTTTTTAAAGTTCATTAAGCTAGAATAAATGCTGACGATGTGAATTTTATGAAAAATGATGAAAATCAGATGAAAATCAGAATCATTCTTGAGGGTAACATCTATACTTATAGTTCTGACCTTTAAAAGGTACTTGCACAAAAAAAAAATTTTTTTCTTTTGTTTGAATTTAACATTAAATATCAAGAATTTTTTTTTTATTTAATAAATATCATTTGCATTTTTACAATTATAAAATTAATGGAGATAATTTTAAGCTTTATCAGAGTTAAAAATAATGAGATTTAAAATAAAAAATTTTTGTTTTGAAGATTTATTTAAGCAATAATTAAATTGTTGATAATAATAAAGCTAAGAAGAGAGTATAATTATAATATTATGCTTTCTCAAATTATATAGGGATTTTTTTTAAATTAATTAATAAAATGCATTAAAGTTAAAGTATTTTATATGAAATTCCTTACTAGAAAAAAGGCAAAGCAGAACTCTTTCAATTGACAGAAACATAAATAGTTCTGAGTATGACATTTTATATGAAAAATTAATTACTAAAACAAAAAAATGCTGGTATAATTGATTTAAATGAGTTATATATTAAATTTAAATCTGTGTAAATATATTCTGACAAGAAGAATCTATTATTATAAATAAAGGTTATTTTTATCAAACAGTCAAAATAATAAAACAAATCCTAAAATAAGACTATTAGCTATAAAATAATTCAACCCAGTTCTTTTTTATATACTAATTTGATTGAGAATATTTGCCTAAATTTCTTCAAAATTCTATGATTAGTTTTAGCAAAATTTTAATAAGAAATTAATATAATTTTACTATAGTTTCTCCAGTTTTAATATTTTAACATTTTGTTATAGTTTACATAAGTTTTTATAGATTTTAGATTTTAATATACTTTCGACAAAGTTTCAGTATTTTAGCATTTTTATAAGTGAAAAACCCTTATAGTTTCTCTAGCTACTTTAAATATAATATACTTTCAAAATAGTATGTAGTTTTTAGGTGAATTTTGCATTATATTGATTTATTTTTGTCATAACCTTTTTCTATAACATCTGTTTCAAACAAATTTTCTTCTGTTTATTATATAATATGATAATTCAAAATAGAAAAAATTCTTACCATTTTTGTATTATATTTAAAAACCTTATTTTAATATATTTAAATAACAAATATTTATATAATCAGACTATTTTAATAAAATATGATGAAATTATAGTATATTCTATTGCAAAATTATCTTTTTTTTGTAGAAGGCAGATAAAAATCTTTGATACAAAGACTAATAAAAGGCCTATATTAATATATATATAAAATATATTTTTAACTTATTTTAATAATGTTAATTAATATGTGATAAAAAGCAGATTTTAGTAACCTTTTAACAAAATAAGATTTTTGATTCATATTATAATATATTACAGTAAATAAACTTTATTTGGTTAAATTTTTATGCCATTAGCTTATTTAATAAGCAAAGTAATAAATGCTTAAAATTTATATAATATCAATCAACAATCTAAAATTAGATTTTTAGGAATATTTATTATAGCGTAACTTTTGATTATTAATTATTCAAAATTAATTTATTAGTTTTAATAGCAAAACTCCCATTTAATTTATTTTTTTAAAAAAAAAACTATTAAAAATGATAAATTAGTATTTATCTTGATTCTGATCCCAAAGTTTTGATAAATCATCTTTATTAAAGTAAGCATAAATGATAATTCAGATAATATCGATATATGCGAAGTGCTTTAAGTTTCTTTTCCCTATTCCTCTTTCTTATTATATTACTAACCTCTTTTTATAATATATTATCAATCTCTATATCTTTTAATGATTTAAATTTTTGGATGGGTGGATTCTGAAGGAAGAATACTTTGTTATTGACTCCTTTTATATATAATAATTAAATGCATTATCTATTTTTTCAAACATTTTATAGTATGTCAAAATTTCTTTTTCTAAGCGAACTAGTTTGGTCATTTCTTTATTTCTCTATTATAGTTTCATGTATCTAACTTCATATTCTAAATTTCACATTCTTAGCTTTAGCTTTAAGATTTTAATGTTATTATATAAGAGATATAGATATATAGGATCTTTGCAAAAAAAAGAGGAGAAATTGCCAGAAAAATTAAAAATAAGTTAATACTAAATTTGAATATATAGGAGGCAATCAGTAGAAAAGAAGAAAGTCCAAATTTTGAACAGAATTTATATTATTAGACCATTTGGCTGATCTCGATCATATGTACAAAATTAGCTTAATAGTTAAAATTAATAAAAATTTTAGATTTCCTTCTTTTCTACTGAACGCCTCTCATATTTCAGCCTAAAAATCATATTTGACATATAAAAGTAAAATTAATTTTTCCCAGTAGTTTTCCTCCTTTCTATTGCAAAGATTGCAAAGACCTTATATTCAAAAGTTAAGTCATATAACTAAAATTTCTGTAACTTTCCTGTCATGAAAAAATCATGAAAAATATTAGCATGTAAAAATTTCGTTAACTTTATTTATTGCTGTTCTAAGATTATTTATACAAGATATAATCTGATTTTATTTATCAATATTCTGAATAGTATAAAATGGTTATTAAATAAGAATGAACTAATTATTCCACAAAATTTGTTACACTTATTGTTGCTGAATATTGATTTTTCTCAGTTATTTAACAGTAAAAATAAATTGTTAAATATTTATTTATTATGCTTATAAATTTCTTAGAAATATTTACAAAAAAATAATTCAGAGTTTACAAGCCCAGAAATTGATTCATTAAAATGAATACCTTAATTGCTTGTTTGTTAATAACAAAATTATTTATTTTACTTTAAAGATACTATAGTCAAAAGAAATTTTAATTTTAATGAAATTTGAACTTGAAGGTTAAAAAATTTTTTATAATATAAAATATTAGTTTTTTTCACTACTTATCTTTTGGTTAGATTAAATTAATAATCCCTAAATTTTAACTGAAAGGCAAATTCAATCATCAGATTGGCGAGAACTGTTAAAACAACCTCACAGCACTACCATATGTTGAAAGTTTCGAGGTAAATTCGAAAAGTATTTATCTAATAAATACACATTTGTTGGTTATGAGGCATGTGATTGTGACTACATTTCATCTCGGTTGATTCATTTTACTTGAGTAATATGAATAAAAATAAATCACTAATCTAATCCAAATTATTTTATATATTTTGCGGTAAATGTCTACAGCCTAAGAATCAAATTCAGAATTTTTGCGATCACATAAGGTCTCGATCGATTAATAACTGTATTTATCACATATTTATATAAAGGTCTAGGATAAAAGCCTATACCTTGGATGCATTTTAAGGATTCCTAAAAAAAACATTAATACGTAATTGCAGAATGGTAACAATAAAGATCAAAGAGTCTAACCCTTATCTTTGATTAGTCCTCACAACGATTAGAAATGAAAATCGAGATTTACACCAACCTTGAATATTTCAGCTGAAAGGCAAAATATATATGTCAATATAAATATTAGTAGTTTATCACCGAAATACTCAACTCCACACAACAAAATTGATCGATGTTTTTCAAGGCTTTTTTTTATTAGTCATATACTAAAAATAAATAGTATTTGATACATATAATAAGATGAAATTTCCATCCAAACTATACATATCCGATTACCAATATTAATAGTAGAATTTTGATGCTATGTATGAAAAAAATATTAAACCAAACTATCCTAACTTATTATCAGTGCATAATCGTATTGAACATGGTTCCTCTTTTTTTCAATAATTTAGCTTATACTTGTAGAATTCGCACAATGTGAGAAACCACCTGATTTTCTTCTTTCATATCATCTTTAAAAATACAAGTGTATTCTTGGCTTATCTCTACTTTTAGGGATTTTAATGTCCCATTCTATCGGATGAAACGTCAAAAATGACTTATTGTCATAATACCAAACATCGTTTGTTCAGAATCTGTTTCAGATTGTATTCGCTTGCCCAGCATTAATTCTGCAGTACTGTAAATTTGTACTAGAGTTTGTGCAACAGCCTTTTCATTTTTATGTGGTTTGGCTACTGTCACTAAAACAGTGATTTTTTGTATATAGATACCATAATCTAAAACACTGTACCCACAGCTTCTATCGAGTTTAACTTCTATTATTAATCATATTGATGAATCATTATTCGTACGTATGTGATCAACCGCTGAAACAAAGAAGACCAAAATGAATTTTCATGCTGTTGCCTCATTTATCGTAATATTGTCATGAAAAGCATTCATCTTCTGCCGAAGGATATCTTCAAAAATTTTTTAATCATTATCATTAAGTGGGGGTCTGATTTAGAAACTTCATCTATTTTGAATGTTGGCATTGAACCGATAGAATCGAATGCATTATTATATATTTCCTTAGAAATCTCCTTGAAGATCCAATCTCTGTACGGTTTTTTACCCTTTACTTGTATTTTAAGATCAATAAATCGATCACCTCGATCATCTGAATCAGTCCTAACCACCAAGCTATTGAATTGGTACTCATTATCAATTGTTTCTTCTTTTGAATTGATTTTAATGACAAATAAAAGTTACAGGTTTCTAATTCCTCAAATCTTTTGAACAGCTTCTCAAAGCAAAATCTAGGAACCACTTGAATGTGACATCGTATATTTATCCGAATTTTGTAAAAACCTATATTTTACTATAACTGTAAACAGGAAGACTAATAAGGTTATGTATGTAAATAAATTGAATTACAAGATGTGTACTTACTGCTAGTATTTGATAATGGATACTGTATAACAAGCGGGAATGTGTCCATTGTGACTAGGTCTGTAAGTAATGTTTCACTACGAAGAAGTATGAGTATATTATGATCATCATAAGAAAAAGATTTAATGTCACTTTATTCAATGTCTCGAAGTTCATTTAATTCCTGTTTAAGGGTAAACTTAAGGTCATCTAAATCTGTTATTTCTGTTACACTATTTTTCAACTTTATTGCGCCTTTTTTCCCTCAAGTAAGACCCATGTTGTTACTATAGAACTTGGGACTTCGTTAGACATGTTTGATAATCACAAAAAAAAAATTTTATTAAATAAAAACAAAACAGCCAATCAACCAAAAATATGAAGAATTTTTTTTCTATGCACAAAGCATAGTTAAAAATCCATTTGATTGGCTAATTATTATACATTTTTTAGTAATTTTATTGGCTGATCGTCATATATTTGTTTGATTGGCTAGTTAAAATTTTAATTTTTAATTAGTAAAATAGCATAAAGACAAATAATTACATTGATAAATAATATATTAGAGAGATTGGCATAAATATAAACAATGTATTAGAGACATAGCATAATAATTTATTTTAAATAAACATAAGAATAAATATTTGCTTATTAGGTTAATATGATTTATATTTTTTATATAATTTATGTATTTAATGATTTTCTGTATTACGAAGATTTGTATAATGTAAAATATATAATATGTAAAATAAAAGTTTAAACTAAACGTGTAAAATGTGAAAAATATATTAAAATTCTTATAATAAAATGCCACGACAAAAGATTAACAATGGACCTTGCTCTATTTATCATTGTGATAAAAATTCAAATGCTTTTCGATGTTTAACTAAATTGGCTATGAAAAAAGTATTAATAAATAAAACTATTCAAAAGTATTTTTACTTACAAATAGGTCAACAAGTTTGTCATTCACATTATATAATTATTGTTAAAAATGAATAAACTCATAATGAAAATAGAATTATTCCCATTCTAAATTTATCGATTAAATTTTCGTTTGAAGATAAAATCAAAAAAAGAACAACTGTTTTATATAAAAGAAGACAGAATAATCTTATACTTGATCCAAATAAATTTGATAATATGCTTGAATATGCAGATTTAGATCTAAAAGGATTTTTTGCTGAAATGTGTAATATATTAATACCAAATGATCGTTCAAGTTATAACAAAAATGAAGATAAAAAACAAATTGTTATAATCTTATATTTGATGGCAGGATTGCAAAACAAATATGTAAATAGTTTAAAATTAGAATTTGCCTTATATCTTGCAGGATCAGGAATAACATGCAATGTAATTAATACATTAAGTCATGCTAGAGTTTCTATTACTTACCAAATGGTATATAACTATAAAAAAAAAGTTACTAATGAACATCCACTAAGAATAGAAAAGTATTTTAATGATAATAAAAATAATCTTTGTATATATAACATAGATGACTATCATAATATACATGAAAAATGACGACCTAATAATACTTCCCTATCAGAAGCTAATCACTTTGCAACAAGTATATGTAAAAAAGTAGAAGGATCTCTTTCAGTGCTAATTATATTCAATGGAATTTCTGTTCATAATCTAAATAATATTGAAGCTTCAATTATTTGTGAAAAACTTATTAATCAGTATCAAAAATGCTTTGACTTATCATATTTGCAACAAAAATATTAATGGAATAGTTCTAATTTGGTTGAATTTGACAAAGTTGATCAGCTTACGATACATTCATATGATAATATTATTATGGAACAAAAAGAAGAACGCAAAATGAAAAATGCAATCTTAATAGGAATACAAGAACAGAAACTTCACTCTCTACAGGATTATCTTAATGCATTAAATTTAATCTTAGACTATAATAAGAAAGTAAATCATCTTACAAATAATGTGGCTCCAATTATTGCAGATTAGCCAGGCCAGCTTTTATTCGCAAAGCGCTAACATATCTATTAAACGGAAATAGAAATTTGTTAGTACAACCAGAAATAATATCTTTCGTTTCTTTTCTTGGACCATTACATGTTTCTCTTAATACAAGAGAACATATAATGAAAATTTATTATCTATTTTTCAAAAAACTTTTTCATCATGTGTTTGGAAACTGAAAAATTCTTGCAAAAAAACTTAGACCATGAAGAATGAATCTTTTATTAGATCTTGCATTCTCTGCATAAATTAAAATAAAAAAAATATAATGCAAAAATTTACTTATCTGCAAAAAAATAATTTCAGATTATTACAGAGCTTCTAGACAATCTTATTCTAGCAGCTTTTAACATATATGCTTTATTACTTCGATTTGGATCATTTGACAATTATGTAGAAATAATATTTCGCATTTAGACTTTTGCTTTACGTTAGAAACGCAAAAATTACAATAAGACTTCACTTGCATTTTATCAGATATATTTTATTGGGAAATAAATAAACATCTAATGAAAGAGGTATTAGAAAAACATTTAGTTCAATTTAACGATTACTGGATAGAAAGTATGCATAGCAGGATACGAACCACAATATTACCAAATGATAATGTTGATAATATACAAAAGCAAGCTTATCTTTTAGACTATCACAAATATTCAGCTTTTCGTGAAATATTCTTACCAACAAATCGTTATCCATATTCATTACAAGATTTGGAATTTTTAACTGATAAAACTTGTCTTTTTCTTCTTTCTCAATTTCAAGAAATTTATAGAAAAAATGAATAGACAAATTTAATTAGTAATGAAAATTCATCATTACAAAAATGGCAGACCAAAAAAAAAATTACTTATCACTTACAACCTTCCTACTTTAGGCAAGACGGATATAATAAGTATGTCAACTAAATACAGTACTTCATTTAATCCTTTATTTAACAGCTGTGACCGCTGCCACAAAATAATAGTTGCATATAAATAAATTATCCTAATATGTGAGCATGGATATCATGTAGAATACTACAAAAAAATGGAAGAAAAATGTGAACACTACTTAAATTTTCACAAGGATGATATATGGCATAATGTTGATATATTTCTGAAATGCTTAAATGCAGAGAAAGATGATAAAGATTTAAACAAAGATGACCAAGAGAATGATAATGATCAGGATAATACTGCAGATAAGAATGATTTAGAAGGGGAGAATAGTATTCGACTAAATATGAGTGAAAGAGAAATTCTAGAATTAGAATTGCAAAATAAAATTATTGATATTAATAATTGGTAAGTCAAAAAAGCTAATAAGAAATGTGATGAAGAGATCAAAATAATTACATTAGAATGAGCTGCAATCACTCAGCAAGGTCTGATTAAGTTTCTAGTAGGTAAACAAATAAGAGATCCAAGTATGTATAAAGTTTTTTGACTTCAAATAGCAAGAGTAGAATTTTATTAAACATGCAAATTTAGTATTTTTTACCAAAATACCATCATTATAAAAGTCTTCAGTAAAAATGATTATACCTGATTAAATTTTCTGGTAAGTAAAGAAGCTAAATACCAGGATGTTTGTAAAGTTTTGTTAACAATTAGTATATAATGTAACACAGTTTGTATATGAGCAAAGATGAGCATTTTCTTATTTAAGTATTATAAAAAAATGATGTACTGATCAGCCAATTAAATAGATTTTTAACTATACTTATGCACAATAGGGTATTTATAAAGAAGAACAATGTGATAGTGTTTATTGTATTACACTATTATAATGCTCATCTCAGCAAGTTATTGTATTATACTATTGCAATGTCTATCTTAGCAAATTAATTTTTCCAGTCCCGATTGATTTGCATAATTAGCTACGAAAACTTCAGAAGCTAAATAGTAGTTAGTTTCAACCTTCTCCTACATCATAATAAAAGTTTTTCACAGTTTTTTCCAGTTTTAAATGCATAATCCATAGTATCCCAGCTCTCATATAATTGATTTGAAGCTCCGGATTGGCTGATCACATTTAATTGATCAAAATCGATCTGAAGTATGAAATGTTACCAAAATCATTACAGCAGATATTATTAAGTCTTGTGGTCACATTATTGATCATCGATAAAATTTTCTGCGCCTCAGATGCGTAGCCAGCATCATGATTCTGCTAACCTAGCATTAACTTCTTTATTAAGAATCTTATTAAGTTCTTTGTTAATTCTACTAAGCTTCGCATTAGCTTCATTATTGATTCTGTCAAGCTTAGCAGTGAGAGAATCCTTAATTTCAGATATACATGAGATAATTTCATTGGTGATTTTAGTAATAATATTAATATATTGTTTAAATACATCACAATGATTGTAACAGGTGAATATTCAAAATAAATTATTCAATATTATCAATGTATTAATACAATTGCAATATATTAATTGATATAAATTATATAAATTTTTCTATACTATTATCATTCATTAAAATTTATTATATAATATATCTAACAGACAATCCTTACAAAGTATGAAAATAATTAGTAGATAATAAGTTAAAGACAATAATAGCATACTAAATTGAAAATATAATTATCACAGAAAAATTAGAAATCTGCATAGTTAAATAAAAAGCTTCATTAATTTTTACCTATACTAGAAAAGTGTCTTACATCATTGCGAAAAAATCAATCAGCTGAACTTGATGCTTTCTCAGATTCTACATCCAATGCCTTAAAAACTGCAAAATAAGGAGAAGTAATAGCGTATTTATAAGTTTCCATCATCCATAATGTATGAAAAATACCAAAGGCTTTTCCTTTTTGATCTACAACACATGTTCCTGAATCTTTATGTTCAAAATCTTCAGTCTAAAATAAAAAACTAATTGCTGATTGAACCACATAATAGGATAATATTTCTGACGATTTTGAAATAACAGTACTTTTATGTATTCAATGAAGTGTTCTTTATCTATAATATTAATATATAGTAGGAATTCACCTTGTGTTTTTGCGAATTTGATACTTCATTTGTAAAGTTAAAATCCTAGAGATTTTTAATTTTAATACAAATAGCAGAATCAATAGAAACTAATTTTTCACAAGAAAGACCTGTTTTTCTTTCTACTTTAAAGACTTCAATCTTATCAGTATTATTAAAATCTTTATATGTATAAAAACTATTCAGACAGATATTTTAGAAAGGTTTCTTTTCAAAGTAATCTTGAAAAATTGCATATTCATTTGGATATAATATACAATTTTCATTTGTAAAAATACAAAATGCAGCATCAACACCAAAATCCTTTTGATACATCTTAAAGAAAAAGTTATTTCAAATTCTATATTTATAACAAACTATTTCAGTATTCTTCTACTATCTTCAATATTTTTACACATAGTTTCAATAACTTCTTTGTATTTTTATTTTCAATTGTCAATTTAACTAATAAATGCTTAAATGCATCTAGATCTTCATGTGAAGGCTGATGGATCATAACATCTGTTCTAAAACTCAATACATCAAATTTCCATATATATTTGCATGAAATAATGCCTATCTATTTTGAATTTTTATTACGAATGACAGCATTAAGAATCCTAGAATCTTTTTGTAATTCTAATATTCTTATACTTGAATCTAACTTAACTTTCATCTGATAAGTTTTATAATAATTTGCATCAAAGCTAGTGATACCTAACTAAACTCTTTTTTGAAAAATTGTAATTTTGTCAAAAGTTTCGTCTCTTTAATATTTTTATATGAATAAATATAAAATTATTATATTTTTTAATGTATTTTAATTCAAGGAATTTAGATCAAGTTAAATATAATTTCGGCAATTAAGTAAAATAATTTGTCATTAATAAAAAATTAGTTCGTTATTTTAGTTTCGTCAATTTCGTCATATTAAGAAAGGTAATTTTGTCAGGTATCACTATATGGAATTGCAATACAAGCTTTAACAATATCAACTGGATAGCCACAAATATCTTTTAGAAATAATCTACTACATCCTTGACATAGAATATTTTTCTGATAAACATATATGATGATAGAAGATATTTCAGTAAATTTTCCTTTTATTCACTTATATCTAGTATTCATATTAACCAAATTATAATGCACTTCGTGAAATAATGATCCTAATTTATTATTTAATACTTCATTAAAAGTTTTGTATAAAACTTGTAGAACCTTTTTTTAGATTGATAGAGGATCATAAGCGTTTTATGGTAAAATCTCAGTATTATTAAACCCTTTTTCTTCTAGTATAAAATAAATTACTTACTTTTTGTGACCTCCTCTGTATATTCACATTGGTTAAGATTATGATTAATAATGTATAATCTTCATATTATTTCATCACAGAGATATTTTAGCCCCAAAAGATATCTATGATACTATCCTACTTATATAGTTTACAGAGATAATTCTTAATAATATTATTCCAAGTAACCATTTTAGTTGTAATTGGAATTTCTATGACTATTTTTTTAAATGTTGTATTATCTTCTATTAAAAAGCAAATGCAATTTAAAAAGTCATGATAATCATCTCTTAATATAGTAAAGATCAGAAATTTTAGATTTATCTTAATTAAAAATGATTGGTTAAATTAATATTTATTCTGTTTTTACTAACTCCTAGTAAATATGACATTTAATTTTCTTCAGAATTATCTATAATATAAGCTAAATAATAGATATAAAGCAATAATTATCAAAAAATAACTAAATAAAAAAAATATAAATATAAATTAATTTACTTTTTTTGATTTTAATTTAGAATATATTTTTTAAATATTGTTACTAAATTATTCAAGATTTCAGCTATATTTTTTTCATTTTTTTGTATTTGTTTTTTTATTTTATAATTAATATTAGCTTAAAAAAAAAAAGAAATCATCAATAATATAATATTCCAAACCTATTTTACTAATTATTTAAATATTAATTCTATTCCTATTCTTCTTTTAAACTTTAATAAATAGTTTATATTGTTATTTAATTTATATTATATTTTAATCTACTTTACTTTTTTTTAACTAAGAATAGGATTACATAATATAATTTGAAATTTAAATGGTTGATTTAATTTTAAATCAAAAAATGATTTAATTAATTAAATATAAATTATATTCTAATTCAATTTGATCAAATTCAAATCAAGTGTATAAATAATTTAAATAAAATAGTAAATTTTCTTTAAGTTTTAAAAGTATGTTTTATTAAGAAATATTAGTAAATAATACTTATATAGTTTTAAAAATCATTTTTTTACTAAGAAAAGCATAGTAAAAATACTTTTGTAATTTTAAAAATATTTTTACTAAAAAAATTTTAGTAAAAAAATATTTCTTAAATTACAAAGTTGTTTTTTTTACTTAGTTTTCTTAATAAAAATATCTTTGAAATTATAAAAAAATTTTTATTAAATAAAAGCTATCTTAGAATAACTTTAATTTTTATATTTAATTATTATTATCTGACTGATAATTAGATAGACTGAAAGACTTAATCAATTAAGTAATAATAAGATTTAGTTTAGAATCTTTATGTAAAAAAAATGATTAAGAAAATTTACTATACTTGGTTTTCTAACCTTATAATTAAGTTTCTAAGTTAAAAAAATATAAGAATTTTTCTAATTTTACCAGTTTCAGAGTATTGATAAGATGTCATGAAGACAATAATAAATATATTACAAAATTATTTAGCAAATTCATTACTAAAATCACTAATAATACTATAATTAAAATAATTAACAAGAATATTATAAAGATAATTAATAAATGTATCACAAAGACTATTAGCAAAAGTATTACTAAGATGAAATAATGAAAGTAGAGTTCTGAATGAGCTGAGCTAACTTTTGAGTCAAACGAGTTGAGCCTGAGCTGAGCTGAGTCAAGTCAAAAAAAATTTGACTTATTTAACTTGAGTCAAGTTTCAAGTTAAGCTTGACTTGACTCAAGATAATTTGAGCTAAACTTGACCTAAGTTAAGCAAAAGTTAAGTACAAAATCGAGCCTAAAGTCAAGCAAAATTCAAGCCTAAAGTCAAGTTAAACTTGAGTAAAAATTTAACAATTTTTTTTAAAGGAAGTATAAAAAAATTGTTCAAATAGAATCATATACATAGTTCTAAAAAACAATAGAAGCTTCATTCTAATAGAATGATAAATCATCGTTCTATAAGAATAATAAAAATATTATTCTGATAGAACTATAGTATATTATTCTTAAGGAATGATAGAAAAATTGTTCTGATATACATTATTCTAAAGAAACGATAGAAAGAATCATCTTAATAGAATGATAATACATCATTCTAAGGAACGATTTTATTATTGTTTTAAAAAAATGATCTATTATCATTCTAAAGAAATGATTATATTATCATTTCAAAAGAACAATTTATTATCATTCTAAAGGAATGATTTTATTATCATTCCAAAAAAAACAATTTATTATCATTCTTAAGGAATTATTTATAATGAACTCTTGATATAACGAAGTCTAAGATCTGGATCTTAATTTTGTTATAAACTTATAATAAATTTTTTAAAGAATTTAATTGGCTGGTTCATTATAGTAAGGTATATTTAATATATTTGATTTAAAAATTTGCTATATCAAAGGTTTGCTATATTTAGGTTTGACTGTATTATCATTTCAAAAAGAATGATTTATTATCATTCTTAAGAAACGATTTTATTATCTTTCCAAAAAAAAGATTATATATTCATCATTCTATTAGAACAATTCTTTTATCATTTCTTTAGAATGATTTATTATCATTCTATCAAAATGATTTATTATTATTCTACCAGAATGATTTTATTTATCGTTCCTTTAGAACAATATTTAATAATTCTATTGGAAAATTCTTTCTATCATTTTTTTAGAATGATGCATTATTATTCTATTAGAATGTTTTTATTTATTATTCTTTTAGAATAATATTTATCATTCTATTAGAACAATTCTTCTATTATTTTTTTAAAATGATGTTTTATTGTTCTATTAGAATGATTTTTCTATCATTTCTTTAGAATGATAATTTATTATTCAATTAGAATGAATAACTCAAGTTGAGTTAAGTTTGATAAAAACTCGCTCAATTTGACTCATTCAGAACTCTAAATGTAAGTATTATGAAAATGATTAATAAATGTATTACATAAACAAAATAGTTTTGTAATATACTTAGATAATTAAAAAGATTGGTTTCAATAAGTCTTTTTATTATATTTTTCATACCTTTCATACCTTAATAAAGATTAAAAATATATAGTTAAAATTTTTCATCATTTATAATAAATTTTCTATATTAAGTTGCTATTGTCTTTTATTACTTTTCCTTAATTTTTTTTTAGAATCTCTAATTTTTAGTTCAATTGCGTGTTTTATCATAAGTTAAATTATTATTTCATTTTTCATTCTCATATATTTTAGCTTTAGTAAATTCAATTTTAGATCATTATTATATCATATGATTGGTAAACTAGCTAATGATCTGTATATCAATCATCTTTGCTATAACAAAATTTAATTTTCTTTAAAAATCATTTGAACAATATTATATAAATTAAAAAATTTTATCAAATTTTTAATTAATATTTAATTTGATTTAATTTGATTTAAAAAATGATTAATTTAATTTAATTGATTCAATTCAATTCAAGTAAATTCAAATTGCTTTAATATTTGATAAGATTTTATTTTAAGAAGTTCTAATATCACCATTATGATAAAAGAAAAATAAAATAGTATTTGTTATTTATCTTTTATAATATGAGTTATTATAATAAACTAATTATATGCCTTTCTAAATTTTAAAAATAAATAATAATTTTATTAATATATAATTATATTAATTTAGAAATACTTATAAACAGTTAAGAAAATTAATTTTCAATAGGTTTTTGCATATTTATAAATAATCAAAGAACATTTTCTTTAAAATCTCTTTATAAAAAATTTAATTATACTTAATTAAACAAAAAATAAAATTATTAATTCTAGATAAAAATTATTCAATAATAAAATATTTATATACATATTAAAATAATATAAAACTAAAAGAAGTTTATATAATTTAAATCTAATTATTTTAGCTGGATTAATAATATGATATAAGTTTAAATAAAAGTATTATATTAATCTGATAGGTTAATTCTTAAAATTATAATTCTTATCTGATAGAAGATTTAATTTAATTTAATAATTTAGATTAATCTAATCAGTTCAGAGTAGTAATATCAAATCAAAAGATTATTTACTATTTTTTTAAATAATCTTGGTTATTTTGACTTGAATTATAATAAAAATGAGATTATTTGAAATCATTTCAAAGTTATTTTAAAGTCATTTGCCAACACTTATCACTAAATTTTCAAGAAGACCGGTAACTATTATTAAACATATATCCAATAAATGTTTATTGTAGACCTTCTACAAGTTAGATGTCATATTATGTACATCTAAAAACTGTTAATTTAATATCTATTTTTCAGTTAGTATAAATATTTATTTGTAAAAATTGTCAATATAACGATAATATTTAATTATATAAATTTTATTGAATTTATAATACATGTAAATACAAGTAAAATAATTGCGAAATATGATATATTATTAATTATTAAATT